GGTCGGCGGCCCACCCCCGGGTGAGGGTTTGAGTGCTAGGTGGCTGTCGCCGGTAGGCCCGGGTCAGCCCCTAGTGTAGTTCCAGTGTTAGGGGAGTGAGGTGACAAAAGTTGGACTGGAATGCGCCCCCATTTAAGAAAGGACGGATGTCTTGCTTCAAGTGCAGGGGGTGCAACATCACAAGGGGGGGGAGCGACCGTGACGGTAACGAGGGAGGGGGGGGAGAAGGTAAAAGGGGTAGCGAAAGGGCGTTAAGCGAACGCCCTGAACCGTAACTTAAGCGGCGACACACCAAGCTTAACCGTCGGTTCCCCTGACGTTCCCGCTACCCATCTCCCTCACTCTCTGCTCTGTAGCCCCCACCGTAGCTCCCTTCAACTGCCCCACTAACTATGCGCCCCACTCTCATTCGTTCCTAACCATTCCCGCATTCATTCAGAGTGCTGTTCAAACGCCCCCTCCCCGCACTCGGCCGCGCCCACTTCCAGCCAGCAGCCCCCTCCCAGCGCATAAACCGAACGGAACAGCTCGCGCGCTCTCCGGCTGCAGGCATGCCGGGAGACCAGGCAGCCCCTCCCATGCCCCCGGAAGCCTCCTCATCGCGGCACACGCAGACCGCAGCGGCGCCAAACGGCGGGAGCTCCGGCCATGGGCAACTTGGCCCAGATGGCGCTGCCACAGACGCACCAGCCCCAGAGAAGATCGACCTAGGATCGGAGAACGGAGCAGAGAGGGGCGATCAAGGGCAGAAGGAAGCAGCGGGGAATGGGGGGCCTTCCGGAGTGCCCGCCCCGCCTGATGAGGCGGGGAAGGACGATTTGCTGAGGGAGTTTTTTATGGAGATGCGGGCGGTGGACAGGGACAACGAGGTGGACAGGATTCTGGGGACGTTCAAGCTGAACCCGTTTGAGCAGCTGCTGCTGAGGTTCGACGCGGGACCGGAGGAGGTGCGGCGCCAGTACAGGAAGCTGTCGCTGATGGTGCATCCGGACAAATGCTCGCATCCGCGGGCGAGGGAGGCTTTTGAGGTGCTGGGCGAGGCGCACAAGCTGCTGCTGGATGGGGAGAGGAGGGAGCAGCTGGACTTTGCGCTGGGCGTGGCGCGGGAGGAGATAAGGAAGGAGAGGAGGAAGAGCACCAAGCACGACGCGGCGGTGCGGGTGGCGATCGCGCTGCACGAGGAGGGGCGCGCGGGCGTGGAGGCGGTGTACGAAGGTGGGGGCAAAATGGTTGTTTGGCCTTCGCGGCGAAGAATAGTGACGTTTCAGTTTGCAGGCTTTTGCACTAATGGCATATCAGTTTGCAGGCTCTTGCACAGTCAAGTTGTTGTTTCTGGGACAAGGCACGGACGGAATGCTTGCACCGTGTTCTCCCGGCGGGTTTTTGGACCTGCAAAGTGTGCGTGCGTGCGTGTTTTTGTAGCTGGGGATTACCCTGTTAAGATGTTTTGTTAGTTTTGTACAGAACATGGACAAATGCTTGCATTGTGTTTTCCTGGTGGTTGTTTTGGACACACAAGGCATGTGTGTTTTGTAGCCACGGATGAGTTTCATGAGAAGTGGAAGGCCAAGGCGCGGGATGTGTTGGCGAGGACAGAATGGCGGAGGAGGAACTTGGCGAAGCGGATAAAGGACGAGACGAACAGGATAGAGGAGGAGGAAAAGACGACCAAGGCGCAGCTCAAGAGGGTGAGGGAGCACAAGGAAACGTGGGAGAAGACGCGGGACGAGCGGGTGGGGACCTGGAGGGACTACTTGAAGTCAGGGGGGAAGAAAAAGAAGAAAAAGGGGATGACAGAGTTGCGGCCGCCCAAAATAAAGACGAACGATGAGGACAAATTGTATGTGCAGCGGCCGGTTGGGGAACAGTTCAGACCACCTCAATCGAAATGATGTTGGAGGTGGGTGGGTGGGGTGTGTGTGCCTGTGGGATCAAGTTTCCACAGTTGAGGCCATGCACTGGCCACGCTGAGGAACCTTTGCTGCTCTTCAATTAATCTTGGCCTTGTGGTTTAATTATGTTGTGCTTGCCTTGAACCTCAGTGATCCGCTGTGCGTTTTCTTGCAGAGTAGGGACTCAGAGAGAATTGGTTCGTGTAGTGAAATGGCCTTATGCCCAGTCCTTGTTGGATGATGAGCACCAAAACTGCCTCAGCTGATCAGAAAGTGCAAACAGATAGCTGTGAAACGCTAGGAAACCACCAACAACTGTCTGGCAGCAGAGCAACTGTTTTCCTTACATTGAGGAACTGCTTGCGTTTTACCTTGCCGCAAGGTTTCTGGCAGGGACTCTAGCAGGGGTCGTGTCCTAATCGCAGTGCGCCTATTCTGTCAGTAATGGATTTGCAAGCTGACATTCGAATGGTCAGTGTTTCGACAGCCACAAGCCCTTTGGCGATGCCATCCATTCTGCTTGTTTGGTAGGATTGCATCTGTTGCAGTGACAAACGAAAGTCCACCAAACTCTGCAATGACGGGTGCATGTCACCACCAACCAAGGTGTTTGGCAGTGCAGATACTGTTGCTTTGCTGAGGGTTGTGCAATGGAAATCTGCCTTGATTGCATTTACCATCTTATGGCAGGGCAGGGCCCTTGCTCATATATCCCAACGACACGAGTTGTCCCTGTCCACCCTCACCCACAAACCCATGCATAATTGTAGTATAGTGGATTCCAGAACCACTCAAATGGAGCTCATAACCCAAGGGGAGGTTTTGACTGGTGGTGCTTGATTACAAGGTGGTATTGCATATGCATCAGCATATTCTGTTGCTGCACACCTGAATTGTCCTACAGTGTTGAGAGTTATTTGAGTCAGCAGGCCAGCAAAGGGCCTTTCGGGGTGCATGCCAAATAATGAAGCAAGGATCCTTTCGCAGGGGGCTGGTGCCAGATGGGTGATGGTCCGCTGGTTCTGGCAGTGCTTTACAAACCACTGTGCTGTATGCGCCCCACTTCTGCGGCCGAAAGCCTTAGAAATCTGTCCAGCTGTCCACCTGTGCTCTGTTTCCCATGAATGAGCACTCTTCATGGGGGCTTGAGGCAGCGACTGTGTGCAACAACAGCAGGTACAACATCCGCTAGGAAAATACAAGATGGAGAATCCATGCAATGTACAGCTGCTTCCAAAATATGCTGACAAATGGAAAAATCGGCTGAGTAACTCGCTCGTCAGCGTGCTCCACAGGACATTGTTTGAACCCCTCGCAGAATAAATGAAAGCCTCACAGACAACCTCAAGCCACAGGCACCAACCTCCACGGAGTAACTTCCGCATTTCAACCCCTGATGAAACACCTTTCATAGAAGCATTTGCAATCACAAAACGCATTGGCCCCCATCCCCAACCTCGCCATGCTTCCGAACCTCAGCGTCCTGACGGGGGCAGGGTTAGCTTCACTGCTCTGTTCCACGAGCAGGGATTGTTCACGCACTCTCTCTCAACTCCGCCTGCCACGATTGTCGACTGAGTCAGGAAAGTGCAGCCCACCTTGCAGGGCCCTGGCATGCACTTGATGATTGAGCAGGCACCTCCATTGACAATGCAGCACTGGGGCTCCCACACACCACGTGGACGAATGCTCTCTATCGTTACAGCGCAAGAGGGGTTTTCTATCTCGTACATGTCGACTCCCACTTGAAAAGGACCATCACCAGCCTGCATCACACATCCCGGGCTTGCTCCCACCCTTGTCCCCAACCCGAGCGGGTTGCACGAGATGCTCTTGTGGATGAACCTGTTTTCGCTCTTGTCAGTGCAGGCGAGGGTGTCCCTCAATGGATCTGAAATGAGGTTTGGCGTGTCGGTTATGTCGCATGACAGCGGAATGATGATCGACGGATCCCTCTCGCACTCCGCACGGCCCGCCACGTAATCTGCTGCGGCTGTGGGATGCGAGATGAGCACCAGCAGGGACGTCATTGCCAGACTGGCAAGCACGTGGGTGCCTGCCATGATGGGCTTGCAACCCTGGTAAGATTGCCGCTGGCACCAAAAAGGGCAAAATCGTTGGCTCAGTCACTGGAAGCAGGCGGCTGGAATGCACTACAAAGGTATCAGTGGCTCCAGGAAGACTATTTTCGATAGTGAAACAAATGTTTCTGATATGAGTCACCGTTTGGAAGCGTCACATCGGTCGCGGGGTTGACTTGAATCCATTCGCTGCAGACACACCGAAAGCCCTCGTGGGCCTCCCGTTAGGACAGTAGCGAGTCGATGCCATCAACTCAGGCGCACCCGGGCAAAGCATCACCAGGCGACCGGTTTGCTCCAAAAGGGCGTTTTGGCGGCAACGGTTGAAGCTGGCTGCCGGGAGAGGGATTTCGAACGCACGTGTCGCCTCACGGAAACTCATTGAGCCCGTGTTTGTGGCACCGCTCAACGCCAAGCAGCCTTGAAGCTTCAAACAGCGTGGCGCAATGCTGTGTACGCCCTGTCACACCCTGGGGTTTGAGCAGCCAGGCTCGATATGCTCTTCAAAGCTCCCCCACCGCGAGCGTTGGCGACAACGTCTTGAGGGCCGAACTGGGATGTAAAGCACGCGAGAGGTGCCGCGCTTCTGGAAGCGTGCTTGCGCGGCTCCGACATTCACTTGCCAATCGTGGAGTTCGATGGACTGTGACCGTGCCATTCGCGTCTATGCATGACGTCGCAGCGTTTTCCCGACTGAGAAAGGTCATGGAGACCCCAACAGCCAGGTGCAGGGTTATGTTGACGGCAGCGATAATGTGGAGTGGGAGGACGGCAATTGGTGGAGCCAGGTGAGAGCGTGCGGGACGGGCCGTCCTGACCCTCCGGCTGCCGCAGACGAATAGCACGAGTGGCCTGGTCAGGGAGATGGCACTCCTCGCCGCCAAGATTCGGCTGGCCAATGGCGACCAGAGATCGATCTGGCGCGAGCATCTGCCGGCCAACTCAGGGCTCCTTCGTGGCAGTCGCTGGACGGGACACATGCGGGGGGATGTTGCCGGGCTTGTCGCAATTCAACTGTCTGAGTGGTTCGAAAACAAGTCGGAGCGGCTCGCACGGGACAGGGCTCAAACTTAGACACGACAACCATTGCCACGCAAGAAACAAGCTAGGTTATTGGGATAGAGATGGGCAACGCCTCCCGAGCAATTACCGCGGCCGCCACGCACTGTTTCCTGACGCGACGCTGCACGCCCGGTGCCGTGTTGGGCGTCCGGTCCGCTTTGCGTTGCGTCCCGCCGTGGCAGTGAAGGCAGCACGGCAACCGAAATAGTCGTCGTGGGTGTGAGGGCAGGCAAGCGTCAATCCCAGCCCGCCCAAAATGTGCCCGCAACTGAAACAAAACACCACAGGGCTGGACGGCCACGCGAAACAGAGCGACGCGGTCGCCTTTTTGAACGTTGTCGCGGTCGGGGCTGGCTGTGAGAACGGCTGGTGCAGCGAGGTTATCGCAGGAGCTTTCTAGCACCAGGACCAGTTTAGCAGTTTGTCCGCGCCTGCTCTCTTGGCTGTCTATTGGTCGCGCCCCCCCCCCACCCCACAACATAGCTGTGCGTGAAGTTGCAGTCTTACCTCGCGGTCGGCGCAAGGTGGACGTCTGGACACTCGAGGACGTTGCTGGGGACAGTTTCCGTGCGTGCTCTGAGGATCTTTGTACATCAACTGACAGCAGCAACACCGAGGAGCGGTTGTTGGACACGACGACACGTGTCACTGAGTGGTCGTTCACTCGGCACGTTGATGACGAGATGAACCAATGAATCTGACGCCTCACCTGAAACTCCACGCACCCCACAACGGCTCTGGGCACTTCAGCATATGGCTCTCGCACGACTTTCGGCATTCGACATTCACATGTGGTTGTAGAGGCCACTTCGACGTCTGTGTCGATTCCTTTCCCAGAGGAACAAATGCAACTATTCCACACATTGTTGCGCCTGCACATTATGGGCGGACACGAGGCCCACTTCCCCACTACCTGCGGCCTGTAGGGGGGTCTTGCAAACAAACGCTTGGCAGGGAGCGTCCCCTTCTGTGGTGTTGGACCTTGCGCACGAGCATGTTTGAAGGCCAATGGTGCAAGTTCAGGTGTTGACTTGCACCATCATGCCAGAGACCGCATTGCACGATGCGGCTTCCCCTCTGCACACTTTCCAGTGAGTTGCCTGCAACGCAGGATCCTCTGGAAACAGGAAACAACAGAACGTCATGGTTCATTTCTCAAGGATCTGCGTTGGGGAGTTCATCTACCCGCCCACAATGGAGCACAAACATCTTGAGAATGGAGTTCGATTGGAAGAAATCAGCACCAACGAGAGCCTCCTCTTGTGCTTGCCGACTTTATCACAAAATGACAGTGTGGTGGATCTCTTTCAATAGTCCAACTTGAGTTCTCCACGATCATATGGCCACCACATCCCGGTTGACTGATCTCAGTGGTACTCGGAGCATAGAACATAGAGCTCTGAGTGGTATTCAGTGGGCATGGGCTCAACTTTCCATTTGAATTGAGAGTTATGTCCTGATGCATCCCGATCAGGATGTGCTACTTTGGCATAGTGTCGCCTACTTCGACAGGTTTCTACCCATCAAATCAACTTGGTTCAAATGCTGCCTCAGTTCAGGCAGGAGGGAAGGCCAGCACTGAAGGCAGAAAACAGGGTGGTAACTGACCATTCTGCCAGGAGTGAAGCCGACTTCCTTCGAACGAAGCATGGAGGCGAGAAATGAAACAGAGTGGAAGTGCATGCTCGTGCTCAGTAGCTCGAGTCTGATTTGGAAACACAAGACAATAAGTGACAATTTGGAACCGATGTTTCTAGGAATGAGCCTGCACATTTGTATCCTACGACCTACTCTAAATCACAGGGCCACAAGGAGTACAGGGTATGACCTGTTTGTGGGCTGATCACCCTGGCCGAAATAGTGAGTTGGCACCTTGGTGCAATGCATGTTCCTTGTGTGCAGGTGCATCAGCAGCTCTGAGAGCATTTGTAGACTTCCTGCACCTGCAAAGATTCTGCAACAGGTGACAATGAGCACCACCAAAGTCAGCAGGCAATGGTCTCTGAGCTGGTAAGGAGCTAGTCAGTCCACAGTGAAAGTTTTTTGTGAAAGATACTGATGGCTGGGCAAGAGGACAATGCGCAAAGTGACAACAACAAATCTACACAGAAGATTTGTTCTACGCAACAGGTTCATAGGCTGGCACACATTCCAGCATCAAAAGTGGCAGCGAAGCTGGACTAAGTCATGACTGACGTGTGCTCTGACTGTCCAACGTGCAACCACTTGCTGGGATGGAACCCCCACTTGGCCCATCGACTCTCCCATGCTGTTATCCCCAAGGGAAAAGACATGCTGCCTGTTGTCCCGAACATCCACCTGGTCAACAACACACAACACAATGCAACCCAACCACCCACCAAACCCCATAGCACAGTTCCTGCCCTCATCAACTCCCAACTCAGCTGGATTACCCTGAGTGCAACTTTGAGCGTTTCTGGTTCTGCCAGGCTCCATGAGCACCTCTCTTTCGATGGCCAGTCTGGCCGACCTTCTTTGCCCTCTTCTCTAATTTGAGCTGTCTCACATTTGGACCCCTCAGTTCAGCTGCGTCCTCATGCAGTCGCTTTCCTACCACAGGAACAGCAACATCACAATGCATGCCCTCAGTGGCTTTAATTTCCTGCTTGTGGTCATCATTTTCCGCCAGGACACCCTTGGTCCTATGTGCCCTCGTTGGCTCTGACGATCGCCCCCTCTTTAGGCCTGAGATCTTTGCCTTAGCACGACCTTCCTTGGCCCCAGACAACCTTTTTTCCTTCTTGGCAGCTGAGCCCTTGAGATTGATGTCTTCTTCAGCAAGGTACACCCTTGGCTTTCTCTTCCTCCCGGACCTGTTAACTGCTGTGGGCGCATCGTTGCCAGAGTCTACATTCTGATCCTGTACAACTAGACCTTCTGCCGCTTGTGCCACCCTCCTTTTCTTCCCAGTGCCTCTCTTCTTCCTATCCTTTGCCTTCTTGCCTTTTGCTGTCGCCTTCATCTTTGCAATCTTTGGGGAAAGTGAACCGCTGCTGGGCATCAAGACAGGGCTGCCGAACCCTCCAGGCGTACTGCCAATTGGAGTCCCAAAGACCTCTGGCGTACTAAGGTTGGCTTTGCTTTCATTGTCCGTCATTGTCGAGTGCGCATCTTCATGTTTGCCTGGGCAGCTTCCCTTATCTTCCAGCGCAGGGTCAGGAACAGTTGGGCCATTACCTTGAAGGACGGCACACCACACATCAGGCATAGTGTTGCAGCTCAACAGCAAGGAGAAACCAAGCATTCAGGTTTGTTCCCATGGCCCAGAGCACTCCAAGACAAGCTGAGTGCCATGCCACGCCTTGAGTCAGCTCAGGGCAGATCAAGGCGACTGAGAGCCCGAGTAGGTGCGTTGGTATGGGGAGAGCTGGCAAGGCGACGAGCCGGGCGAACATTTGTTCGAATAGGGGTGCCTGGCATTATTTAGGATATGGACTGGGGAGGACATCTACTGCTGGTAAAATTGCAACCCCGTTCTCACGGACAACTGCAGGGCGGAGAGCCAAACCGCTTGAACACGCGGTGAAGACGGTAAACCGCACCCCGCCCCTCCTTGCGTCGAGTTCTCAGCGGCCTGCCGCCCCGTGCGCCCACACGGCCCTTGTCGCCCTCGGACAGGCCATCACGGATGGAAAGCTCCCGCGTTGACGCTGCCTTCCGCGCTCCGCCGATGCTCAACCCCCCGTCGACCGTCTGGAAGGCCTCCTTCCCTCCCCCGCCCGCGTTGCCGGAGCCCTGCGCGTCCGACCTTCCGGGCTCGACCCCCTGCATGATTCGCCAGCGATCACTGATTCAGCGGTGCACGGCGGCCGCGCTCTTTAGTCCGCTTCCGCAGCGCTGATGCAGGCACAACTCAAGCGACGAGGTGGGATGAAAGTCGCCACCTCCATGTTGGAATCGAGCAACTCCGTCGCCGGATACCCACCCTGGGCCACTCCGCCAAGGCTTCGCGCAAGCCCCCTCCCTAGTCCCGCGCACCCCAGCCCTTCCCTCCCTCAGGGCCGATCCGCCCACAACAAACGCATCCCGGGACGCGGCTGCCGGGCCCCAATCATCCAAGCGCCGACCCCAAGGAACGCAAGCCGGGCCGGAATGTCTTCCGCCTCGCATAGGCGCAGTTCCATCGCCGCGCCGCGCCACGCCGCGACTTCATCAAATTCCCACCCCATCCGAACCCACCCACCCACCATGCCATGCCCGCTCTCAATCACCGTCTCGCCCATCTGCCCCCCGGTCCCTTTCAAACCGCTCATCCCGGCCGTGTCCCCCTTGGCCTCCGTCTCCGCGGCTTCCTTCCCCCCCTTGGCATCTTTCCGCCCCCCGTCGCCCCTGCTCCACCCAATCCTCTCCAGGATCCTCTGGCCGAAGCCGCCCAGCGCGGTGTTCGTCAGCAGGCCAAGGCCGGGCACGTAGCTCTTTGGCAGCTTCATGACCGCGATGGCCTTAAAGCCCGCTTGGCAACTTTTCTGGCTGTTTCCCGCACGCTTGTAGGGAGCCTTGGGCACCGCTACAGAGCGTCCAACCGCTGTCGGTAGGGGTGGGGGGTGGGGGGGCACCGAGCAAAGGCGCCCGTCAACTGCTCCCCGAAGCAGATATTGGGCACCTGTGGGAAGTGAAGGGTCGCGTCCCGAATTTGAAATGCAGACGGGGCATTGATCATGGGCCTGTGCCATCTGGGGGGCTTGGTAGTGGTCGTTCTTAACTAACGTCTTTTATTGTACAATTAATGCTGTCTTAGACGCCGTTGCCGCAACACTCGGAGTTCCGTTCAGCGCGTACCCTGACGACTGCGTCATCACGAGTTACACCTGCTGCGACCTTCACAGGTTGCCATAAGCCCCGGCACGGGGTCGGGGGCGGACCTTGCAGTCCTGCCCCTTTCTCCAAAATACCGGAAAGAGGTTAGAAGTGGCGTCATAAGGATCGGAGCGCCCCTAGCCGGACAGTCCGACCTCATTAGGGTCGAGCTTGCGGTCCAGAGGCCTTAGGGGCCCTCCCTTCTCCTAACACCACCCAATCTGTACTGCCTAAATGTAGGGCCGCCGGGGCAGAGGCTCAAAGGTCTAAGGGAAATGTTGTGTATTAGGCAGCCAACGCTCTGCGCGAAGGGGTGCTAGGGCCCATGATAACTAGGCGAGTGGGCCAACAACTAGAGGAGGCGATGATGAAACAACAATATGAGGAGGCCGCGGCCGCGCATGAGGCCTGTCGACGCCTCATCGGGCAGGCAAAACTACCCAGACGATTGGGCAAAATAGAACAAGAGTTTGCAGATTGGTGGGAGAATCCTCGATGGGCAGAGAGGGGATGGCTGGCGCGGCCTCAAGACGCCGTCGCGATTCTTTGAATAACACCGCATGCGTGGGCGACCCAACATGGCCGTAGAACATTTTGAAGAGCTGCAGTGCCCACTACAATATTGGTGTGGGAAAGAATTGCTTAAGGGCGCAAGCATGGTTTTAACTGCCAGCCGAGAGGGTGAATGGCGGTGCAAAGAGTGAAAGATTACGGGAACCTTGTCGCAATGCGTGCTCCCCTGGTGCCGAGGGGCACAAAGACCTGGTGTGGAGAGAGAAAGCAACAAATGAACCCACGCCCATGACCCAACGGGACTTTTGCAAAATCGCCATGATGCACACACTATGGCTGGGGACCCCGAGCAGCGTGGGCGAACAAGCCGTGATGCACTCATGTTGTCCTTCGTGTAGGAAACGGGACAACGGATACATCCCCAATTGGGCCCATACACCCGTTCAATGATCGTGGACCTAGATGGGAAGCCCGTGTGGACCGCTGAATAAGGAAGGCGATTGTGTGCTTGGCTGCTATTACTAGATGTCTTGGCCTTGAAAACGAGTACAAAATTCCGACCAGGCCGAATGACGCTACAACTCAAAGCGCCGCTGGGATGCCTCTATTGGTTTAACTGCTTTGGAGAGTGGCTACAACAACAACTGGAGCATCTGGATTTATTGTTGCTGGGCTGGGAATGGGGACAGGGCCTGACATCGACATCTATGACAGCAACAGAGGTGACGCGCATCACCAAGGTTTGGGCGCAGAGAATAGGAGGATCACCGGAGGTAACGTATTATAGCTAGAAGCGGGGCTCACTATGACACCGCTATCACACTCTAGGGATGGATGCATCACGGATTTGCCAGGACACGTTATTGCAGAACATCGAGACCGTAGAGCGATACGTGGATCGCGGGAGGCACTGGCATAGGAAAGTTCAAGGGGCGCGCCGCTTGCAGGCCCGAGAGCAGGAGCGGGTCAGGGACACAGAAGCAGGCAGAGAGCTAGTCAAATGGGGAGGTCCGAGCCGAGAATTGCAAGAGCGCCTAGCATGAAATGTTTTCATGTAAAACAAACATACCTGACATGTCAAGTTACTTATCCAAGTCTGGTTGGAGAAACCAAATCCGAACCCAAGGGAACCAGCGGGGGTCCTGATGCTGGCGCGGGGCCGACGTGCCCCATAAGAACTAGGGAGAAAGTGAGGCGCCCTGCCATTGGATGTTGGCAGGCATCACCAGCGGCCCTTGGGTGTTGGATAACTCCCCAATGAGAGGTTCTCACGCTCAGTGCGCTGTGGGTAAAATGAGGATGGCAGGGCACGGATGGGCGAGCAAGTAGCGCAGCGCCCACCCAACGAGCCGGGTGGGGGGTTGACCCATACCACCTGTCCGTATTGAACATCCCACGCGTGAGAGAAAGCATCAACCCCTACCGAATGCTGCTCAAAAAATTTCAAAAAACAGCGGAGACAAACCGCCGTAGAGACGGATGTGAAGGCGTCTAGCGCAACCCGCTGTGGATCGAGTTCGAAGCGATGGTAGACCCAGTGCACTGCCTCCGGTGCAAACCCCCCAGTCAGTGGGGTCCTCCAGTTTACTGAAAAAGTTTGCGTGGTCCTGCCATGGGTCCTCCCGGTTAGACCACATGAGGTCCATATCAACGCCGTGCTGCCAGGCCAATAGATGGATATGATACACTTGTTCCAAATATGCACCTCATCCCTTATGTCCTGCCATGTAGTATGTGCTGGCCATACAATCGGTATGGTACAAACGACGTTGTGCCCAAAGTAACGAGGGGGCATGATGGAGAAGTGCGTAGAGCATATAGTAGATAGCGTAGAGCTCGCGAGCAGTGCTACTGGAGCCCAACAATGTCTCCGGCAATGGAACTTGGAGTTGGCATGGCAAAGCACCGCCGGGGAAAAGAGCACCCACATGCGTCTTGGATGCATCGCCCACAACTACAATGGTGCACCGTACTGTGGCCCACCGGCAACCCTCCGCAACATCGAAATTAGCCACCCACCACTCCAGCTTCTCACGAATCTAGTCAGAGGTATCAAAAAATGTGTCCCATCATTCATGGTCAACAATAGCCAAGAAAAAACGTTTGGTGAATATGGGATACAAGTTCACTGCCATGCTCATGGAGAAGATCAGCCTAGCAATCTGGGCCAGCTGTCAAAATGTGACACAAGGCCGTGCAAGCAAAGAATGCATCAGTTCCATGAAATACTGACGCTTGCCCTCCAGGACACGAAAGCATTGAGTACTGGTGTCCACAATGAGGCCCAAGAAGCATTGTTGTTGCTTGGGGAGCCAATCTGCCTTCTTGGACGAGAAAAAGAAGCCAATGGTAGTCCTGTTCAAAGCTAGAATGAACCTGTCGAGGGCGCAGAGGGCTGGTGTACTGCCCGCCCCTAACCGGTCATCGATTAAATGGGCCATGGCGGACCCATAGAGGCGGAGAGGTTGGTAGAAGGCAGTCGTAACTATGGTAAAAGCCCCACATGCAGATGCAAGGCCAAAGGGAAAGTGCGTGAGCAAAAGGGTACGCCCTTTCCAATACACACCTAGATAAGGCCACTCCCCCCGGTTAATCTATAGGTGGTGGTACCCGGCTTTTAGGTCCGTGGTAATCATGTAATCCCCTGGGGAAAGAAGGCACATCGTTGAGCTGCTCGTAACATATGGGTTCATACCATACGAATTGATTGATGTAATGGAGGTTGACCATCAGGTGCATTTTAGTGCACTGTACTACCACCGCCAGGGGATTGAACACCTGAATGAGGGGATGAACCTCTGTGTCGTATTCCACAGCCATGCCCATCTCCACCAACGAATGCACAGATGGGTCAGTAATATCTTCGTGTGTCTAGGTGGGTTGGTGATTTGGACAGACGACTTGATGAGGACATAGGCCCTGTAGGTGGTCTCGAGCCTGAGACTCAGGCATGATTTGGCAGAGCATCTGGTGCACTTCCTCCCATTTAGCTTTAAAGTGTGGGTGCAACTTCTGATAGCCGCAATCCAGTGTAACCCAATCGATCTAGTAGCCTTGGGCAATCCACCATAATACTTTTGACCGTTAAGGCCACTTGGGAATACTACGCAAGTGACGACACCAGAGGTCACCGTAAGCATGCCAGTTACCCGAAACGAACTAGCCATCATCGAGTAGGAGAGCCTTGATCTCGCAGACCACGTGCAGAACGTTCAGACAGATGAAAGCCTCCTGAGCTTCAAGATCCTGAAGGAGGCGCTGGGCTCTGTCCAAGTGATGATTGTGCACCCTGAAAAGTCCAACAGGGCCCCGACGGGGTGTGGGTAGAGGTGGCCGCTCAGCTTTTTTTCCGTTATTTTACTTTTGTAACTTTTTTGAACACAAACAATCCATCCGTCGATTTTCCCTAGCTTTGCCGGGGCCGGGTTTCTGTAGCCGTTCATGCCACGTCAACTTTCAAT